TGTTTAAAATCACCTGAAATAATAGCAACTTACATGGTTCCTCATTTTATAATTTAACTTGATCATCTAAGTCTTGATAAATAGACTGAGATGAAACAAATATAACAAAATGCATTTGTATAATACTGTGGAATACTTTATTTTCGCTGGAATTAATTTTCGCTGAAAAGACTTTTTGGGCATTTTGTATGGAATTTATTTTCACTGATTTTTGATGCGTTTAATGTGAAATATAGGAAAAAAAGTATATTCACTGGATTTTATTTTCACGGAATCATCCCTTCAGCGAAAATAGCGAAAATAAATTCCAAGCAAAAATAAAGTATTCTACAGTATGTTAAATATTCCCTGACTTGCTTGGCAAATTCTGTCTAGTTATAGTGTTAACAAATTTTGTTTAAAGTATTTTTTTCTGATTTGATAAGGGAAAGGGAGACAGAAAAAAAGTCATCACACAAAAACATACCTATGGTACATTCCTTGTGCTGAAAAATAGTTGTTATAAAGCACAACAACATTGTGAATTACATGTATCAGTAATTATTTCTACTTCACTGTGTATTCTGGGAGATTTCTTAAACTGCGAATTTGCTTTTTTTCAGGATTATTTGACTGCATTCCACCATGTGAGAATGGTGGTAGTTGTGAGACAGGTAGCTGTGTTTGTACTGAAGGGTTCACCGGTCTGCTCTGTCAACAAGGTATGATAGAATAACCAATGTATACAGGGCTCGAAATTCATGTTGGCTATGAATACAATTGCCTTAATATTCCTGCCTTAGTGTATCTAAATGTCCTTTTTTCATGTGCCTACAATTTCTTTTGTTTTGTCATGTTTGCTAACAATTTTGCAGTAATCCATTTGAAGATGATATCAAAATGTTTTAAATGATTATTTGTACTATAGGCTTTGTACCAGTTAGTCTGTATAATTGGCTTTATACTTGTGGTGATATGAAAACTTTGTGCAAATTCACACATTATGTTAATAATTATGATAATATGATCTCTATATTGTGATTAATCGGCAGATGTAGATGAATGTGCTAGGAATCCAACTTTGTGTTCATTCCAGTGTGTCAACACTCATGGTAGCTATCACTGCATATGTCCACATGGCTTTCAACTCACAGTTAATAACACATGTATAGGTAAGACATTATTCTATTCTGTATTACCGGGTAATGTGTTGACACCCAAGGTAGCTATATATGAGTTCTTTCAAAGATAACTACTGTATCAATTGAATACACTCCAAGAACACAAAACTCTGCCATAACTGTAAAGAGCATGTACCTATCTGGCACTGGTGAAGAATCCTTCCAAATATTTCATCTGATCGATTAGGTAATAATTGCTTTTGAGACCATTCTAAAATTGTCATTACCGGTAAAATTTGTCCACATGTTTTTGAATAGTCTGGCAGCAATGAAGAATTCTTCCTCAAATTTCTGTTTTCGTGGCAACCAGATACTGACCTCTTCCAAAATGTTATTGGTTTATTTATTAATTGGTTCTTTCTCCATCTGCTATTCCTTCTGAAAATTTCACAAAAATTTATTCATATATCATTCATGTTTAAGTTATCTAGCAATTAATGCTGAATATCCTCCAAAAAATAACTGTCTTCATAGTAACCAAATCTGGTAAATAATTAGTTAAGGACAAAACTGAAGGAGGAATGCTTGGCATAGTTCTGCATGGTGACCAAATTTCTAATAAGCTCTTTTACAAACAGAGCAAACACTGTTATGCACATATGTTTTATAAGTAACCAGATCCTGAAACTTTTATCAAGATTTATCAAAAATTATAATATTAATTTTGCCTAAATTGACAATCACTAATAAATAAATCAAAATTCCTTGTAATAGCATGCAATATTAGAGGTTATTGTGATGTTTTCAGTGATATATTGAGCTTAAATATTTTGTCTGGTAGCAACAATATCTTCAATATATTCCTTTTCACTATATAATAATACTTTGATTGTTTTTTTTTCACAGACATAAATGAATGTCTAAATGAAGTTTTAGAGTGTGAATTTGACTGTTTAAATACCATGGGTAACTATCAATGCATTTGTCCACCGGGAGAACAACTTGCACCAGATGGAAAGAGTTGTATAGGTAAGTTTAATGGGAACTGAGAAAAGTGGAAATAACATACTTGATACAAAAATCCTGTCGTATGGGTGAATTTATAAGTTCAAGGACACAATACAAATGACTAACAACTGTTGAAAAGACGATTCTCAACACTCAAGTACACAACACTACATAGTCAAGTCAGTAAGAGGTGACTCTGAAGTGAAGTGTTTCAAATTATTTATAATTACTGTGGAATACTTTATTTCCGCTAGAATTAATTTTCGCTGAAAATGCTTTTTGGGCGTTTTGTATGGAATTTATTTTCACTGATTTTTGATGAGTTTAATGTGAAATATAAGAAAAAAAGTATATTCGCTGGATTTTATTTTTACGGAATCATCCTTCCAGCGAAAATATCAAAAATAAATCAGTTTGCTTCACTTTGTTTTGAGGAAGATAATACCATAAACAAATTATACCAGGAATACCACAAGATACTGTAAAGAAATATGACATCAGTATCAGATAGTTTGTATTAAAATATATAGTCTGGACATCAATTTTTAATCTATGGGGAACAAAACTAGGATGCCCAAGAACATTGTCAGCAAAACAGATTATATTAGGAGACAAGGACTTCTCCCCTCTACTAAACCATATAATTATAATTGTTAAAAGAAATATCTAATGTGTAAATTAAAAAAGGAACTACCATGCTTTAATCTCATAAAATCTGACATACGTTACACGCAAAAAATAGAGTTAGAAATTTCAAATAGAAGACATACAATGTCCATTTTCCTGGACAAGTGGGGAGACTTCAATTGTTAATGGGTATTCAGTGTCTATTTTGTATGGGTTATACTAGCTGTGACATTTGTTGTATGTTGACATGCTGAAAAGAATTTCTATTGTATAGAATAAAAGATAGTTAAACCCCCCCCAAAAAAAAAAAATATATATAATCCCAAGACATTTTCTCTTATGTTGATGTTAGCAGATCGTAGATCACTTGTTATACATGTGATAAAAAATATATCTATAAAAATTTCTTGTGATATATATGGAGGAATTATACTAAAATCCAGGTCAGTTTGATTGTTCAAACACAATACACTGTAACCTCATTATAGCAAACTCTTTGTTTGTTATAGAGACATGTTCACTATAATGAAGCATATATACAAATCATATGACATGCAGGGAGACATGCAGAATGTTTACTATTATTATACATCTGTCACCGTAACGACATAAGTTACAGCGTGCAGTAATTTTGCGGTATTTTTTTGCAAATTCCAAATATGGAGTGATTACGTGCGTAAGCTTCTTCTAATAATAAGAACAAACATGGCTGCAATCTGTGTTTGGCCGGACTCCACACAAAGAAGTTCCCTGATTCTGTTCTAAACTTTTTGGATTTCGGCATTCCAATGATGTATCCTAGGAAGGAAAATATATATAATAATAAGGTTATTACAAGAATACCTCAAAGTATGCTCTCAGACAGTACGCCGCGCATCGATCTCCACTGCGCATCCGCCATCGATTCCATTACAAAATGTCTTTAAAAAAAATATTTGTAAACGATTTTAGTACGCCGCGCATCGATCTCCACTACGCATCGGCCATCGATTCCATTACAAAATGTATTTAAAAAAAAAAAAATGTAAACTATTTTAGTGTGTTTAAATTAGTTGAAAATACAAATTTTATTCTTAAATCGACATATAATAAATTCATTTTACACAGAAAAAAAGTTAATTGCCTGCCTACATATGTTTTTTATTGATGTTTGGGTGAATACACACTGTTAGTAAACTTTAGTGTTGGATTATCTTCTAGTTATACCTTGTGTTCCTGCTTGCCTGAATAATGGTACATGTATGACAGGACAATGCACGTGTCATGGGATGTACACAGGACTATACTGTGAGACTGGTGAGTCTTTTATGTGTACTGTGCCAATGTTTCCTTCCATCAGTGTTATAAAATAATCTCTGATGAAAATTATCTATATTTATAATAATATATTCCTAAAGTATAGAATCTCAAACCTATGTCATCAACATGAATACCAAATAACCATCTACCAGTACAACACATAACCCTCATACAAACAAAAAGCTCAATAAAAATATTCAATCTCCACATGAAAACAAGAAACAACTACATTCAATGTCTTGTACAGTCATCAAAATATTTGAAATAATTAAATGTCTATGAGAACAGTTCTTTCTTCTTGTCCTGTTACAGTGAATATCATGTAGGCGTAAATATTTATTATATATAATTATAATAAATCATTTATAAAAGCTCACAATGTGTTACCAAATGGCTTCAATAGCCAATGAACATTTTATTTCAATAAAGTGTGAGTGTTTCCGGGGGGTGGGGTGGGGGGGGTGGGGTATGGAAATGTTTTATAACTATTTTCTCTTTTTTTATGAAAAATACGAACTTTCATGCTTTCATGAAATTTGCTATATATGAATATTTATTAATTTCAGCGATTTGTGACCCTGCATGTAAGAATAATGGTGTATGTACACATGGTGTGTGTGAGTGTACTGAGAAATACACTGGACCAGACTGTACCACACCTGGTAAGTAAAATTAAGTTGCCGATCAATTGGGACATTCTACATTTACTCTTTGTATGAAGTTCATCTTAGTTTTCTGTACCTCTATTTTATTTGGCAGTACCTAGGCCTAATTGTAGAAGTCCATGTCTAAATGGTGGTAGATGTGTCAATGGTGTCTGTCAGTGTACTACTCTATTTGAAGGACATGACTGTAATCAACCAAGTAAGTGAAATATGATTTGATATAGTTGATTACTGTGTTCATTCAGCTTCATGGAAATAATTGATTTCATGAGATTCAAGATAATTTCAGAGTAACAGCACATTCTCAAGTTTGACTGATTTGAACAATTCAAAGTTATGTGGGAAATTTGTACACTTCCAGTGTAACTACCAAATGGTAAAAATTAACAGTGTGTTAAACATTACTTTTGCTTATTTATTTGATATTTTCTGTTCACATAGAACCAAGTTGTGATAATGATTGTCAGAATGATGGGATATGTGTTGGTGATATATGTGTATGTACATATGGATATACTGGACCAGATTGTTCAACTGGTATGTATTACAAGGCATGGAAGTGTCCATATAATAATGTCACAGTCACATATCCATATCTTGACAGTTTAACTCAATTTAAAGTCCATCATAATTACATGCACTTTATTATATTATCAATTTTATGTAACATCATCTTTTGATTGTAGTTATAGAGATTCCATGCATTCCATCTTGTGTAAATGGTGGGTATTGTTTAAATGGTGAATGTCAATGTCCTGCTA